AGAGGGTCAGAGATGAGAGGGATAAAAAGGTAAGTGTCAGAGAAAAAAAGGTGAAAAGTCTTAGAATATTGCTAGCTGCGGGAGCTGGCCGCAGGGAAAAGTCATCTTCCCAAGCAGGTCCTCCATTTCCCCTCCGGTCTGGGGCGGGGCTTTGTCTGAATAGGCCTGAACAGGAAAGAGAGCTTTCTTGAGTTCTGGTTTCTCTCTGATGCTGGCCCCACAGGTTTGGCCCCTACTACACTGAGCCAGTCATTGCTGGGTTGGACCCGAAGACCTTTAAGCCCTTCATTTGCTCTCTAGACCTCATCGGCTGCCCCATGGTGACTGATGACTTTGTGGTCAGTGGCACCTGTGCCGAACAAATGTACGGAATGTGCGAGTCCCTCTGGGAGCCCAACATGGTACGTTGGTGGCATGGAGGGGGCTGGGCTCTGAGGTACCCACCCTTGGTCATTAGGAGAAAACTGTTTATGTGGCAGGTGATGGGGAAGATGGGGAGGTGGGAGAGAAGGCCGCAGCTGCTCCTTGGAAGGGTATCCAGAACTTCCATCTGCCAGGGCCAGCTGGCTCCAGAGGAGAGCATCTTCTGTTAGGAGACCACAGTTAGATAGAATTCCTTATGTTGGGTTTACAGGGTTCTTGCATCCATTCATGGAGTAAACATTTAGCTCAGTGTAGAGTTAGAGGCGGCTCAACAGAATGGGCTTGGGAGCCACGTTGTCTGGGTTGGAAACCTGGATCCACCCACCACCTTAGTTATTGATCTTGGGTAAGCCAGTTTACCTCTCTGCCTCTACTACCTTGACTGTAAAATGGGGATAATAAAGTCTACCTTAGAAGCGGTCCTGAGGAAAGCAAATGGGAGGAGATTAGAATAGTGCATGCATGCCTAGTTTGGCTGGGCACAATGGCTCACGCCTGTAATCCCAGCACTTTGGGAGGCTGAGGCGGGCAGATCACCTGAGGTCGGGAGTTTTGAGACCGGCCTGACCAACATGGTAAAATCCTGTCTCTACTAAAAATACAAAATTAGCTGGGTGTGGTGGCACGTGCCTGTAATCCCAGCTACTCAGGAGGCTGAGGCAGGAGAATCGCTTGAACCTGGGAGGCAGAAGTTGCAGTGGGCCGAGATCATGCCACTGCACTCCAGCTTGGAAACAAGAGCGAAACTGTGTCTCAAAAAAAAAAAAAAATAGTGCTTGGTGGCGAGCGTTGGCTGTCATTATTGAGTGCCTGCCTGTTGAGCATTTGGGAAAGCAGGTACAGTCTGCCTTCAGGTGCCCACTGCAGTCCAGTGTAGCAAGACACACACTCAGATACCTGTTAGCTTGCAGTTTGTTGGGAAGAGGAGGAAAGAAAGGGCCTGGTGGCAGAAGGAACAGCCTGTACAAAGGTACAGGAAGGGCCAGGTGTGTTCAGTGACTGGAGAGAGCTGGCATTGGCTGGAATGTGGGTAAAACATGGGGGGAAACGACGCTGGAGATTGAGATGAGACTTCAAAGGGCCTTGAATGCCTTAGCAAGGAGTTTGAAGTCTGTCCTCTGCCGTAAGGAATCTAGAGAATCGGGTGCCTTTAGGTGGACGTGACAGGCTGTTACCGCCTGCAGGAGGCGCTGAGGTCCTGGGCAAAGACAGTGGCAGTGGGGAAGCAGGAACGCAGCTGTCAAGAGGACTTAGTCACTTAAAACAGAAGCAGAGGAGGTAGAGACACTGAGGCTGGCTGGGTTCTCCGGCTGGGCTAGCCAAGACAGAATGCAGGAGAAGGAACAGGTTTGGGGGAAATGGGTTTGTGGTTGGACAGGTTGGGTTTTGAGGTACCTGTTAGATATCCAGGATCAGAGCCCGTCAGGCAGCTGCTAAAGCACACTGGAGCCAAAGAGGGGTTCTTCTATTTTACAGAGGAGAAACTGAGGCTCAGTGAAGGGACATACTATTTGCCCAATGTCACATTGCTAATGAGTAAAAGAAATTCAGGGCTTCAAGTCTTCTTTCAAGGAAGGAGCTGAGAAAGGCTTCCCACGTCTTGGGAATCATCCCTTACTTCAGGCATGTCTTGGGGCCAGAGCTGGGAACCTTGAGCCTAGAAAAAAGAGAGTTAAGGGACCCCAGACCAAGTCGGGGCTAGAGGCTGTGGTTTGAAGAGGTCCTACTCTGTTGGCAGGATCCAGAACACCTGTTTGAAACCATCTCCCAAGCCATGCTGAATGCTGTGGACCGGGATGCAGTGTCGGGCATGGGAGTCATTGTCTACATCATGTGAGTATGGGCTGGGAGAAGTCGAGAAGCTCTAGACACCCTGCCCCTCTCCCTTCTCCACAAGCACACCCCCCATTTTCCCAGCCCCCCAGTCAGGTATGAGATAAGAAAGGTGCCTGTGGCCATCCTGGGTGAGCAGAAGTCTATGCCTCCCTATGGCTGGTAGCTGGCAGCCTACCCAGCTTCCCCTGGCCTCTGTCAGGTGAGGCTCTGGGGCCCATGCTCACAAGACATTTCTTCCTTAACAATGTCCCAAAAGTCTCAGGATGTGTTGGGGTGAGCCACAGCAGAGCTCCTGCAGATGGACTGAAATTCTAGGGGGCTCCCATCCTCTCTCCAGCCCAGAGCTGTATGATGTTCTGAGCTCTGGGGACCAATTTCCAAGCCCCAGCCAGCTCTCTACGTGCCATCCCCCTTGTCCCCTCACTTCTTTGGGGCCATCACCAGGAACCTGATTGGATAGAGTAGGAAGTGTCCTCCCAGCTGCTTTCCTACATTGCAGGATAAGCATTTGGACCCTTTTGGAGGATAGCCTGCTTAATTACCGTGAAAATGAGAATTTACCCCCCAAGATTCTTTTATCTTCTTTGGGGTGAAACATACCACACCTTCTCCTTCCTAAGTGGCTTGTTCTCTAGGCCTGGAGGAGCTCCTTCCCTTCTTTGGAGAGCTGCATTAGTCCAGCCCTGGATCATTTCCTGGGAAAGCCTCCCCAAGGTGGTTCCACCTGTGGAAAGACTGCCCAGGTGTCTGTCCCTGTCCCTCCTTCCTCACCACAGGCGGAGGAGATGAACTAGCAGGAATGAAACTAGAGCAGGACACTTATACCTAGAGGCAGTGGGCAGCCATTTGTTCTGCTCCCAGGGCTTATAGGCTTGGGGCTGAGGGCCAGGTGAGCTAGTCACAGTCACAGTTCAGATGGGTAGAGATGTTTTCTTGTGATTTTCTCCCTCTGCAGTGAGAAGGACAAAATCACCACCAGGACACTGAAGGCCCGAATGGACTAACCCTGTTCCCAGAGCACACTTTTTTTTTCTTTTTAAATAAAACAGCGTGTCTTTCACTCCTGCTTATCTTTGATGGTTTCCCGCAGATCTCTGCCCCAGCTGGGCAGCTAAAGCCAGCCACTCAGCATGTGTGGCCTGGCCCTAAGGCTTGCTTTCTGGTTCACGCTCTACTCCATCGGTGCCTGTCAGGGGGACAATCCACACGTCACTTGCTGCATGCTCCCTGTGTGCTAGGCCCCACACAAGTGCTTTACACGGTCTAGGATTTATTTATCATGACTTAAGGTAGTTGAGATTATCCTTGTTTGGAGATGAAGGACAGTTAAATAACTTATCCAAGTCCACTTTCGTAAGTGGTAGAGCAAGGACATAAACTCATGTTCCATTGACTCTACAGCTTAGAATCCTTTTCACTCAACTCTAGGGGGAAACCCTTGTCTTTTATTGCTTCAGGTGGAAATTTGGCCAAGTAGGTTTGACGAGGTGGCTCATGCTTGTAATCCTAGCACTTTGGGAGGTGGAGGCAGGCAGATCACCTGAGGTCAGGAGTTCGAGACCAGCCTGACCAAAATGGAGAAACCTGTCTCTGCTGAAAATACAAAAAATTAGCCAGGTGTGGTGGCACATGCCTGTCATCCCAGCTATTCAGGAGGCTGAGGCAGAAGACTTGCCTGAACTTGGGAGGCGGAGGTTGTGGTGAGCCGAGTGTGTGCCATTGCACTCCAATCTGGGCAACAAGAGTGAAACTCTTGTCTCAAAAAAAAAGAAAGAAATTTGGCCAAGTACCCATCAGTAGTGTAGATTAGTGTTTCTTAACCTAGCCAGCACATTAGCCAACTGTGAACTCCTGAAACACATGCCTTGATCCCACCCATTGAGATTCTGATTTAATTGGCCTGTACCTGTCTTCTAAAATTCCCCAAACGACTCCAGCCTTCAACCTGCAATGGATAGATGGCCTAATAAGCAAGTAGAACTTTTGCATAGCAGAGTGGTTTCCAAACGTTAGCTCCCATCGGAATCACCTGGAGGGCTTATTAAGTTTGACTCAGTAGATCTGGATTGGGACCTGAGAATTTACATTTCTGACTCCCAGGTGCTAACGATACTGCTGGTCCAAGGCCACGCTTTGAGAACCATTGGGTTTAAAGCTAAGTGCCCAGATGGACTAGATGAGGTGCACAGAGGTGACATGTTCAAAGTTAGGTCAGGTGAGTGGCTCCTAGCCAGCGTTCGTTCTGCGCAGCTGGAGGAGTGAGGGTGGTTTGTCCATTCTTCCATGTGTTTTTTCCTTGAGAGTTTCACTGTTACCTGGGCTGGAGTGCTGTGGTGCAGTCATGGCTTACTGCAGCCTCAACCTCCCAAGCTTAAGTGATTCTCCTGCCTCAGCCTCCTGAGTAGGCTGGGATTACAGACATGTGCCATCACACCTGGCTACTTCTTGTTTTGTAGAGACGGGGTCTCACTATGTTACCTAGACTGGTCCCGAAGTGATTCTCTTACCTCAGCCTCCCAAAGTGCTGGGCATGAGCCACCACACCCAGCCAGTGGTACTGCGCGTGTAACCACTGCTTATTAACTGCATCTGAAAGTGGGATGTCACTGACCATATTCTTTCTCCAAACTGAAGCTATACATTGATTTAGCCAAAGCTGCCTCTAAAGCTAGGACCAAAATGTTTTAATTCTGGAAAGAAAAAAAAAAAGGTTCATTTTCCAAGGACTCACACGTAACAGATGTACACAAAGCTTTTTGAGTTTTATTTTTTTCCTCAGGTTGGAGATTCATCTTAACATGCATGCATTTGAAAACAGGAACAGGGTCTCGAACTGTTTAAAGCAGACATTAGACAAGCATGGGATTGAAAATTCCTAAAAATGGAAACTGCAGTGGGATATCAAGAAGTCACACACTTGGTGGGGTGGTAGTTTGTCCTGCTTCCACAAAAGGCGGATCTATACTTCATTCACATTTTTTAATTTCAATGATCTGACCTAATGCTGGGGTGTGCCGAGCGGCACTGGGCCCCTCCCCCACCACCTCCCAAAGTGGCTCTGAGCAAGGGCAAGAGTCTCCTGTGGAAGCTTCTGCCCTGGGATGCTGGCACAAGCTGCTGAGGGACAGCCGAGTCTCCTCTTCCCCATGGGGGACTCTTCATAAGGGGCACATTCCAGAGGAGGGAGAGGGCTACGTCACTGCCCCCTGCAGATGGCTGGTAGATTGGGGGACAGCTGTCTGAATGGTTTCCCTTTCAGGACCCCCTGCCCGAAGACTGCCAGGAAGAGATGAGGCTCCTAGACTTGGGGGGGTGCCCACAGGTTTAAGGACAGAGCTCTGAGGGTTGTTTAAACGCACTGTCCCTTCTGGCCCCCAACACCTAACTCACATGCTGGGGTGCTGCTTTCTCTCCTACCCTGAATTGGTAAAAAGTCAACTGGGGGTAGGACTGGCTACTGAGAAAAGTCCTGGGTCTGTCGTCCACCTCCCCAGGACAGGCCCTGGCAGACCGTGAAGATAGATAGGAAAGGCAGGGCAGGAATTAGCCTCACACCCTGAGCGCTGCCAGCAGGCCTGCTGGAGGCCAAAAGCACAGGCAAGAGAAAAGATTGAAGTAGGGAGAGGGGATGAAGAACTGCCTGTGGCGGGAACTTAAAGAGACTGCCACTGAGAACAGCCACAGGGACCACTAGTGGCACCTGCCACAGACCAGCAACCCCTGAGCTAGAAGACGAGAGGTGGAGCACTGCTTCAGTCTGCGCCCCTGAACTGTGGCTTCCTGGCATGCCTGTGACCCCAAGCCGCAGGGCACAGGAAAGGAGCTTGTGCTGGGGGACACAAAGACCCAGTGGTTAATTAACAGGAACCAGGGCCAGGGACCTTCATCTAGGGGTCAGTGGAGTCTCCAGGGCAGTCATCACTGTGGCTGGTAGACGACAGTGTCTTGGCTGTGGGCTTGTGGAAGAAGAGGGGTAGGGACGGGAGACAGGGTGACTGGATGTCAGCCAGGAATCCTGGCCTCACCCAATCAGCCATGTCCTTATTCTTACACCTTTCTTCTTGGGAGACCCAAAATTATTCTGAGATGCCATAAGACTTTTCTTCACAGCCCCAGCGAGTGAGGCTGAGGGCAGTCACTTGCCCTCCAATGCCTTCGACTGCCCAGAAAAATGGCGGGACCCAAGGAGGAAAGAGTGGGGCAGACAATGCGTGGGGGTCAGTCCACTTCTCCACATTCAAACTGCAGACCGCGTAGAATATCATGACAAAAAGAAGAGAAAGGAAACATGTATAAACCAAGATAAATAGCTTTTAAACATTTGAATGCCAAAGGAATTAGGGGCCAAACCCAAGGTTTTCAAGATAGCACAGCGAATGACCTTTAAAAAAAAATTGAAAATCCACCAAACCACAGCTTAAAATGTTGTGACCCAATCAACAATACTGTCAGAAAAACAAAAAGCATTTGAAACAGAATGCTACCTCTCAAAATGTAAACAATATACAAAACACACATACACACACACACACACACACACACACACACACACATACACACACACTCTCAATGTTAAACAAGTTAGATACCTGGTAGTCGTCTTTAACCAGTAAGATTGTGTTACACTTTCCATATACATTATGGCAACATGATCAGCAGACCAAATGCAGAGAAGCCAGTGGGAGCCCGAGGCCATGGAGGCTGCTAGAAGACAGCTTTCCGTGCTTCAGAGATGCTGGGCCTGACTAGGAGCAGATCCAAACTTCCATTCTTCATTATGAAGTGGGGAAATCAAGTCCAGACATTATTCCTAAGTAATCCTTTTCCCAAGTCCAATTTGCTTTCTCCACGAGTGGGTTGGTTTCAAGTTCCCTAAGTCACTTAGTGGTCTTGCAGCAGTTGTTCAGACCTACCTACGGCCCCTTCCTGGGGCCAGGGCAGTGGTTTTGACCCCCACCTGCCTCTTCCAGAAGGGTTCCCACCCAATCCAGGAGCCCCAGTGAAGTCCAAGAAGGCTGTGTCTCCATTCTTTCCTGACCTGTGTGCTGTGAGTCAGGCATAGAGACAGTGCTGGTTCCTGCTTCAGAAGCTGAGCTTGGCCAGGTTTGGAGGGAGCCACAGGAAACCAATCTATTCATTCAAAATGGTTTCACACACGATCTTCACATCTTTGGGGTTATATACAAGTTTGACCATATCTCATCCCAAACCCCCAGTTCCTGGTTGAGGGTGAGAAGACGCAGGAATGTGCCTCCCCCAGTGCAGAGCAACAGGGCTGTTTTCTCTCCTGGCCAGACCAGTCTGTGGCTTGTGGCTCAGTTCTAACTAAGGACCTGGGTGGCAGGCTCTGAAGGCGGGTGGAACACCTGCAGGAAGCCACTCCTTCCAAGAAAGCCTGTGGGCCACAGATTTGCTAAAAGCCTAGAGGGGGCAACAAGGAAAAACAGCCCCAAGGCTGAGGCCAGGTCAAACCCCACATCAAGCCCCCAAACTGGATTTCCTGGGTCACATCCTTGTGTAACTCTAAGATGGGGGCACCTTGCTGGTGCTGAGGAGGTGTCTCTGCAAAAGAGCACTCCAGGCGCTTGGAGATCTGCCCAGAGCTAAGAGCTCAGCTAGAAGTGAGAGTGCCTGGGAGGTCAGAAGGAAGGAAATAGATGGAGGGCACAGGACCTCATTTGATACATCAGTTTCTGAGGTTTTCCCAAAGGGAAATAACCATTTAAACATGAGGGTCCTGATAAATCCAAAAGTACTCTAGTTCCTCTTGACCTAGTAGGAGGCAGGCTTTACAGAGAACGCTCCTGAACTGCAGGGGCTGAGAGCCTGGGGCTTGGGCGATCATCACAGGGTTCTCTGAGAACCAGCTGTCCGAGAACCCATCCGCTTTCCTGCCCCTCACCATCCCGTGAGGAGGAACTCACTCCCCTCTGAGATCTCTGATTCTGATCCGAGATGCCTGGTGTTGACTTGGTGTGTTCTGGACAGGATGGAGGAATAATGGAACATTTCACTTGAATCCAAGGTGGAAAGGTGGAGGAAGTTGTTCACAATACTCCATCAAATTACAAAGTTCATCCAGACTAGACCAAATGCAGCAGGGCGAGGTGTCTGACCTCTCCAATCTGGCATCAGAGCACTTGGTTCTGAAAGGACCCTTGTGTGGGGTCTACTGGGTATCTCTTTAATTGAAGGGAACTGAGAGCTGGGCAGGGACGAGGAGGGTGGGGAGGGTGATGAAATACATGATGATAAATAGCAAACCTGGAGCAATAACATTTCAGAAACAAAACCCAAATAAACCCACAGTCATCTCTAGCCCCAAGGTAGCTTAAAAGGTTACAAGGTACCAAAAAGGGAACCCCTTTTTAACCAGATGTCGAATCGGGGGGAAAAAAATCAAGGGTAAGCAGAAGGCGGGGTTACATCCTGTGAGTAGACGCACACACAGCACATCCCCCTCCTCTTCAGCTAAAGTCTTTTTTGGTGTCACAGGCTGCAGTCTCATTGCTAAAGCCCTCCCAAACCCCCACTTTGCTCCCACCCTCCCATCTAGCCCAAATACACCCTTCTCCCTAACTCCCGATCCCCAAGCCCATATCCAGCTCTCTGGCTCTGGCTGAAAGAAGAAGATAACTATGTCAGGATGTTGGACATAAACTCGTTGAAGCGTTTGGAGTACTGCTCAGGGTTCACAGTCGAGATCTCCGCCCCTGCCTGTAATACACAAGAGGCTGATTCAGGTTGAGTTCCTCTGCCCCAATCAGGAGGCTGCACCCAGGAGAAGCCTGGGTATTCAGAAGCCTGTTACTCAGTATCCCTACACCCCAAGACTGAGCAGATCACCTCAGGAAGTGGCTCACAAGCCCCAAACTGTCCTGACCTCACGCCTGTGATTTGTTTTTTTTTTTTTCTTTAGTCCTGTGATTTATAACCCCAGGCCTGCACTGAAGTAGAAGAAAGGCAGTGGGGAGGTGGCAGAGAGGCTCTGGATGTCTGCGGGGGCCACTGCATGGAGAACAGGACTTCAGGCCCATGGGGAAACAGGCCCACAGGGAGCAGTATGGGCATGGAAACAAAGCTCTTACTGGCCCTTCAGCAAGATGCACAGCAGGCCCAGCAGGCCCTGGGGAAAGACACTGGCGGGCTTGGCCCCAAGGACTGGAGAACTGGGGGATAAATAAGTTGGGGCCAGCCTGGCAGGGAGGGGGTGGGTGATGGCAGGGAACACAGCAAGGCAGTCAGGTTGCTCTTCCAGTCTGCTGTCCTGGGAAGAAGGGGGCAGGTGTGTGTTCCTTGGCACAGGAGGCCTGAGACTGCCCTCCCTGGGAACTGAGGGTGAGTGCAGACACGCCGACCCAGCTGGGCCCTGGGTGAAGATGGAGAGGACTCACCCCGTGTTTCACCGTTTTGGCAGCATGTGCAGCTTTCTTCTTCGTGTCGTATGGCGTGAGGATATCGATGATGGCCATGAAATACACCTCCTTCTTGGGGGAACCTGGAGGGACATGGGGAGCAGGGAAGCAGGAAGAGGGGGCAGGAGAAGGGCAGAAAGCAGCTGGGCACTGTTACAACCCCTGGACACAAGGCTCAGCTCCATCCGTATCATGTTGGGGCCGAGAAAAGGACAAGTGGAGTCCTTCCCAGCTTTCACAGCTCTTATCTTACTGGATCTTCAGTCACCCAGTGGGGCTGACAGGACAGTATGAATAAAGTTTGGTTCATCACATGAACCAGAGGAGACCCATTCCTCAGTCAGCCAGCACAAGCAGGGAAGCAGAAGAAAGCCTGGCAGAGAAGGAGCCCCAGGGCCCCCGGTTCGGGTAGTGACCCTATAGGGGAGTCTAGAGGCAGAAAGAGGCCAAAGGCAGCAATGAATGAGGTGGAGGTCCAGACACCTTGCAGAAAGATCTAAACAAGCCAAGGGGTAGGATGAGGCAGGGCTGCGCAGGGCAAGCACAGGCTCTCACTTACTTTCATGGCTTTTCATGGCATAGACATCAACTGAGGGGTCGAATTCCCCAGGACCAAAGAACCGAGGAAAGCTGAGGAGGTTGCCAGGGCTGTCCGGAGGTGTGCCATAGGAGCAGAGCAGGTTGCCGCCCACCCCGTCATTCTCACACTCCTCGTCCTCTGCCCGCTCCTCCACTTCCATCTCCTCCTGCTCCGCCCGGTCCACGTCATGGATGCCCACCAGCAGGCTGTAGTCCATGATCTTCAGCTGTGCCAAGAACTAGGAAGGCCAAGGACGGAAAGATGGAAGGAAGAGGTTACATAGGACATCTCAGTGGCATCTGGAAAGGGGGAAGAGGCATTCCTTCCAACTCAATTCTACAAACAGTTCTGAAATTCAACAGAGCATAAGGCATCAGAGCACCTGCCCTCAGCGATCTCTCTGTCTAAGTCTAATGGGGAAGACAGTCATTCAGCAGAGGAAAGGCAGGCAGGAGGTGGAGGCTGCCGTGAGCTGTGATCACACCACTGCACTCCAGCTGGGCGACAGAGCAAGACTGTCTCAAAAAAAGAAAATGGGCAAGGAGCTGTGGGAGTCTACAGCAAGGGGTGAACAGGACCTTCCCTGAGGAAAGGAGTTAAGGCCACAGCTGAAGGATGAAGAGGAGAAGTCAGTAAGGCAAGGGCTGCAGGTCTAAAGACAGAACGAGCACTGCAGGAAGAGGGAATGGCTCTCCTGGGATCAAGAGAGGCCATGGTAGCTGGGCGTCGCTGCCCAGGACGTAGGTTATCCCTTTGTCCAGCGTATCCACGCTGTATACACTAACGTCCTGTTAGTCTCTCAGCAGCTGTCTTGGTTATCAGTTTACTATAGCTGAATCACAATGCTTATAGTCAAATAACCCATATTTGACTTCATCATGACCCCAAAGAGCAAGAGTAGTAATGTTGGCAATTCAGATATGCTAAAGAGAAGCCATAAAGTGCTTTCTTTTTCTGAGACACAGTCTCGCTCTGTCACTCAGGCTAGAGTGCACTGATGTAATCTCGGCTCATTGCAACCTCCACCTCCCAGGCTCAAGTGATTCTCCTGCTTCAGCCTCCCAAGTGGCTGGGACTACAGGTGTACACCACCACACCTGGCTAATTTTTGTATTTTTAGTACAGATGGGGTTTCATCATGTTGGCCAGGCTGGTTTCGAGCTCCTAACCTCAAGTGATCCATTTGCCTCAGCCTCCCAAAGTGCTGGGATTACTGGTGTGAGCCACTGTACCCGGCCAGCTTTAAGTGACAAGGTGAAAGCTCTTAACTTAAAAAGAAAATAAATTGCCTGCTGAGGTTGCTAAGATCTCCTGTAAACAAATCTCTCTGTGAAATTGTGAAGAAGGAAAAAAAAATCATGCACAGTATATATGTAGGGTTCAGTACTATCTGTGGCTTCAGGCATCCACTGGGGATCTTGGAATATGTCCCCCCTGATAAGAAGGGACTACTGGCCAGGCGCAGTGGCTCAAGCCTGTAATCCCAGCACTTTGGGAGGCCGAGGCGGGTGGATCACGAAGTCAAGAGATCGAGACCATCCTGGTCAACATGGTGAAACCCCGTCTCTACTAAAAATACAAAAAATTAGCTGGGCATGGTGGCGCGTGCCTGTAATCCCAGCTACTCAGGAGGCTGAGGCAGGAGAATTGCCTGAACCCAGGAGGCGGAGGTTGCGGTGAGCCGAGATCGCGCCATTGCACTCCAGCCTGGGTAGCATGAGTGAAACTCCGTCTAAAAAAAAAAAAAAAAAAGAAAAAAGAAGGGACTACTGTATGATAGAATAGAAAATATCAGAATACATGACAGAAAGTAAGGATAGACAGTTTCAGTTGTGTGTATTCACTGGGTTGCAAGGTAAAATAGACTTCCAACTAGACTCAGAGACAAAGTCTGTAAAAACTATGTCATCAACTTATCAGTCCAGGTAAAAATAGAAAAAAAAGGAAAAGAGAATACAACACACAAAAGAATGGCAGCCAGAACCAACCAACATTCTCAACCCATTCCCTAAAGGTCAAAAGAGGCTGTGTGGTGCTGGGGGCAAGTTCTGGGGCCCTCCCCTGGCATCATGTGACTCCTCTTGCCAAGCCTCAGTTTTCTCATCTGTATAATGGGTGCTGTGAGCAGGATAGTGGCTCAACTGTTTTATCTAGGATTTTATGACTTGGAGAAGAACAAAATATGGAATGACACAGGATGGAAATGGCCAGCTGGCATTCCAGTTTAGCTAATAATGAGGCAAGTGTCCAGTCACCATCACAAAGCAGTCACTAGAAGACTGCTAGACTGACCATCGTGTTGGGCCCTAACAGTGAGAGGACTAGGAGGAAAGTCATTATGGGAGCAGAAAGGCTCGAGGCATGGGCCCAGAACACAACCAAAAGCACAAGGAGCCCTAATAATGGGAGCCCAGCAGGATCTCCTTAGAAGAGGAAGAGTGGGAGGGACGCCACTCTGAGCACTTCTAGACAAAGGATTCTCAAGGCCCAGGGAAAAGGGGCTGGAGTCCCAGGAAAAAGAGCATCTGGCCTGGCATGGTGGCTCACGCCTGTAATCCCAGCACTTTGGGAGGCCGAAGCAGGGGGATCACGAGGTCAGGAGTTCAAGACCAGCCTGACCAACATGGTGAAACCCCATCTCTACTAAAAATACTTAAATTAGCCAGGCATGGTGGCGTGCGCCTATAATCCCAGCTACTTGAGAGGCTGAGGCAGAGAATTGCTTGAACTCGGCAGGTGGAGGTTGCAGTGAGCCAAGATCGTGCCATTGCACTCCAGCCTGGGCGACAGAGAAAGACTCCATCTGAAAATTAAGAAAAAAAAGCACCCATGCACCATGCCCTCCACCCACCTGAGAACATTTATAAAGCAATGTGCAATGAAAACAAATGCACAGAGTAAATTCCATTAAATTCTTCTTAGAACCAGAGCAGGAGAGGTAGAAAAAGGAGAAGGAGGGTCAGGAGTGGTGGCTCACGCCTGTAATCCCGGCACTTTGGGAGGCTGAGGCAGGCAGATTACCTGAGCTCAGGAGTTCGAGACCAGCCTAGCTAACATGGTGAAATCCCATCTCTACTAAAAATATAAAAATTAGCCAGGCGTGGTGATGTATGCCTGTAATCCCAGCTACTCAGGAGGCTGAGGCAGAAGAACTGCTTGAGCCCGGGAAACGGAGGTTGCAGTGAGCCGAGGTTGTACCACTGCACTCCAGC